GAGACCGAGAGAAAAAGGAAGAGGAAGGGGGAGAGGGAGAGAGAAAGAGAGAGAGAGAGAGAAAGAGACAGAGAGAGTGATGGAGAAGGAGACAAGGAGAGAGGGGGAGAGAGGGAGAGATGGGGTTTTTATGTGGTGAATTTTTAAAGGCTGTAAGCCACCTAGTCACCAATGCGTGAGTTGGGCACCAATATACATATTCATATTAATCTAATTTCATAAATTAATTCATTAATGTCCATCGAGTAGAAAGGGTGGGGCAGAACCGGCCAATCCCAAATCCCCCCCACCCCTCCAGTTCCATAGAGAAGCTGGCCCTAAGACTGCAAAGCAAAGCTTGGCCACCTGTGTGTGGACGCCCAACCTCGAGCCCCACGGCTTCAATTCGGATGCCTGGCTCAAATTTGACTCACTGGCTGCTTCCATCATGCTGGCCCAAAACTTTGGCTGCTTGTGGAGAGGGTCTTCGTCTGAGCCGCTGAGCTTGTAAACGTGCACACAGGGAGGGGTCCTGACGCTGCTGTAGTGACTGATGAACATGTCAAAGTTCTGCAAGAGGAGAGGAGAGAATAACTTTATTGTCATTTTGAATAAATAAATACACAATTTTGTAGATACCCACAACACTGAGAATAGAGGTTTTGTCTTCCGAGCTTTTGGACTCGTACTAGAGTTCATCTTCAGGGAATTTCTCTCTAGCAGAGCTGTTCTGTACGCGGCATTTGTATGGTGTCTGCTCTTTGTGGCTTCTTAAATGTTGATTGTGGCGTGTGGGTGGCTGGCTTTTAAGTGACAAGCTATCATTTGTTTGTGCTGCCCAGCCCTCGCCTTCTAAGTACTTGGTAGGCTGACGGTAAACCGGCCCTCCCGTTGTCTGATGAGGGGCCTGTTTCCCAGGCTTCAATCACTTCTCGGGCTGTTTTTGTGCCTGCTTGTCCAACCACCTCAAGCAGCTGCAAAACTGAACGTGCGTCCTTGTTCGTTTGCAGTGTGAGGCTATCGATGAGTTTGGGTCTCTCACCTGAGCGCAAAAACACAAGCGAGCAAGCAAGAGTTGAAAAGCCACCATACAAGAGGAACTATAAACACCGCACGCGGAAGAGCTCACACTTTGCTCGAGAGAAAGAAGTTTCCTAAAGGTGGGATCGATCCAGCACGCATCCGAAAGATCAGAGAAGGTGCCGGTGACCGATCCAGATTCGATCCTGCAACATTATCCTGGAACATGCACCTCTATAACTGTCTGGTTTGGTTCTGCAACCCAACAGGACAGACACAGACTTCAGAGGGTAATTAGGACTGCAGAAAAAACAATGGCTACCCGCCTGCCTTCCATGGAGGACCTGCATTCTCCACGAGTCAAAAAAAAGGGCTGTGAAAATATCTACAGACTCCTCACATCCTGGACATAAACTGTTTCAACTCCTACCCTCAAAACGAGGCTATAGAGCCCTGCACACCAGAACAACTAGACACAAGGACGGTTTTTCCCCTTGAATGCCATCACTCTGCTAAACAAATAATTCCCTCAACACTGTCCAACTATTTACAGAGTATGAGTCACCTAACAGCTATTTGGGTTAGAAATATATAAACCAGGATAAACATTTTAAAACTGTTAAGAAAATGCAAAACTGTAATTAGGTGTGGTTTCTCAAACGGCCATAAGATGGAGCCAGAAACCTGGTTTGTTGAGTCTGAGTCTCAGAAGAGAGTGTGTCTGAGTATCTCTGTTTCCTTCTGTTGGAAAGTATTGCCGTTCCTCCATTTTTCCTAATTGACTGGTATTACTGGATTTGATGTAAATCTGATACTGACACTGGACTTTGATATTTGGATTATCCCTGGATTGAAAAACTGACTGATTTACCTGTGGATGACTTTTGGATTGCTTATTTTGGACTTTGCTTAAACCTTTCTGGAAGTAAAAATCTACATTTACTGTACAGTGTATCTGTGTGCTCTGTGTGTGTATTATTCCAACACTTCTCTCAAATACGTCTCCCTGTATGCGCTCATTCTCCTAACGGGGAATTACCTCAACAATTACTATTAATCTTCTCATCACTCCTTATCACCCATCCCCTCCCATTTGTGACTGTATGACTGTAACTTTGTCACTTGTATCCTTACAATTTATATTGGCTGTTTCCCAGTAGAATTTGATTGCTTATTTTACCCTATGACTATTATTAAGTGTTGTATCTTATGATTCTTGATGAATGTCTCTTTTCTTTTTTATGTACACTGAAAGCATTTGCACCAAGACAAATTCCTTGTGTGTCTAATCACACCTGGCCGATAAAGAATTCATTCATGTCAGAAAGCCCTTTTGAAAAAGCACCTTTGGGACAATCGTTAACCTGGATGACTGAGAACCTCCAGAGAGGTCTACCAGGGGGTTGCGGGTTTCATTTTGACCCCGATGAGTTCAACCTTCAGACACGGAGATACTGACCTGACTCATGGAACAGCTGTGGGAGAAGCCCAAGGTGGTGAGTCGCACGACCTCGCCAGGAGATTCGTAGCTGACCACGTAGAGGTGATGTTCCAAAGGGGTATCCTTCGTGCCCTGGAAATACACCAGCTTCGTTTCTTCATTGACCCAAATCTGGAGACACAAAAGAGAAAAAGAGACGATGGGGAGAAGCTGAGAAGCGCACGTGAAAAACTGCTTTGAGACAGAACTGTGGGAGGCAGAATCAGAGTTCATTTCAGCTGTATCCGGTTTTTGGTCGCCACAATATAAAAAAGAGGTTGAGACTCTAGGAAAAGTGCAGAGAAGAGCAACCAGGATGATGAGAGGACTGGAGACTAAAACATATGAAGAACGGTTACAGGAACCGGGCCTGGCTAGTCTAGGGAAGAGAAGGACTAGGGGAGACTGGATAGCCTCTTCCAATATCTGAGGGGCTGCCACAGAGAGGAAAGAAGTCAAGCTATTTTCTAAAGCGCCTGTAGGCCAGACAAGGAATCATGGATGGAAACTGATCAAGGAGAGATTCAATCTAGAAATAAAGAGACAGTTAAAACAATTAATCAGTGGAACAATTTGCCTCCAGAAGTTGTAAATGTTCCAACACTGGAAGAGATTGGATAACCATTTGTCTGAAGTGGTGTAGGGTTTCCTGCCTAAGCAGGGGGTTGGACTAGAAGACCTCCAAGGTCCCCCCCAACTATTCCTATTCCTATTCCTGTTCTATTCCTTAGCTTCAAAAGTTATCTGTACAGTTGGGATGAAAATGACAGCGGTGGTATCATTTTTAAAGCTCTGGACCAGTTTTGATCACGGCTATCGTTCTGGCTTTTTTTTTTTTTTTTGGAACCTGCTTAGCTTAGTTGCAAAAAGATCCCAGGGTCTGCATCTTGAATAAATGAATAGATCCTGCAATTAATAGTACATTCTGCCCAAGGCACCTTCTTCGGCAAAAGAAGGGGTTACCAATTGGAAAAAGCTGCTAAGGTAAAACAGTGTTTGTGTGTCTGTGTGTGCGTGAGCCTTTGAGTCATTTTTTTGGTCTCCTGGTGACTGCCTGAACAAGTCCCTGCTGTTGTCTTGACAAAGTTTTTTTTTTAAGGGGTTTGTCCTGGGCTGAGAGAGAGTTACTGGCCCAAAGTCACCCAGCTGGCTTTCATTTCTAAGATGGGACTAGAACTCACCGTCTCCTGGTGATCAGCCCAAAATTGCCTAATTGGCTTTCATGTCTAAAGCGGGACTAGAACTCACCGTCTCCTGGAGATTGGCCCAAAGTCATCCAACTATCTTTCATGCCTAAGGCAGGACTAGAACTCACCGTCTCCTGGAGATTGGCCCAAAGTCACCCAACTATCTTTCATGCCTAAGACTGGACTAGAACTCACCGTCTCCTGGTGATTGGCCCAAAGTCACCCAACTATCTTTCATGCCTAAGACTGGACTAGAACTCAGCAACTCCTGGTGTCTATCCTGGTGCCTTAACCACTACACCAAACTGTCTCTCTGACTGTTGTTGAAGGAAACTATCAACCAGAAGCCAGAGATGGCACAAAGACCAGAAATGGCATTTTCACTGGGAGAGGAAGGGACTTCGTACCTTGTACCCATGTCGGGCCAGAACTTCCCATTCTCCACTCGTGAGGGCCACTTCTTCCTTCAAGGGGCATTTGAAGTCACCTGAAATGACAGAACAGAATCAGGCAGGGTGGCCCCATTCCACAGCTACTCCCCGAAATCAGCTGTGAGGGCAATGCACCAGCCATAATTGGCTGGACTACAGCTTCCATCATCCCCATCTTCCAAAGACCTACTGAGACCTCTGGATTGGTCCACCTTAAAACGAAGCCGAAGGGAGCAGAACGCTTGGGGAGGGTTCACCTTCCCATTTGGGACCTCCTTAAAGTGCCTTTACAATAGGACAGGATGCTTTGCTCCCTGTGAAGTCTAAAATGAAGTGGGAATACTTCCCATTCTGCTTATTTCTGAAAGGAGAAATTCTTGGTGCTCTCTGAGCTTGGTTTATTTTTTTTTTGCAGACGTTTCCTGACCCAGCTAGGTAACATCATCAGTGCTAGAAAAGAGTGGGATTGACTCTTTGTTTGTACACAAGTGGTTTGCCCTGTCAGTGTTGGTGAAGTGTGGTTTTTTTTTCATTAGTAGTTCCTTGAATTGACTGGTGTTTACTATTTGATTGACAGTCTGAGCTGGTGGTGCAGGCCTCTGTATAAAGACAGCAAACACCGCAATCCCCTCTTAGCGCTGATGATGTTACCTAGCTGGGTAATGAAATGTCTGCAAGAAAACAGCCAAGCTCAGAGAGCAGCGAAGATCCCACAGTTGTCATCGTGGTCATCTACCTCTTCTACTTTTCCTTCTTCTCTGCTCCAAAAACCTCATTCTCTTCTAACACTGATGACGTTACATCGTTGGGTCGTGAAACATCTGTAAGAAAGCAACTAAGCTCAAAAAGCATCAAGGACCCCACCATCTTCCTCCTCCTCCTCCTCCTCACCACAAAACCCATGGCCTTCCAGTCCTGATGATGTTACATAGTTGGGTGGTGAAACATCTGCAGGAGAACCACCAAGCTCAGGGGACATCAAGGACTTTTCCTCTCAACCAGGTGCTATAAATATTGTCCTTTTTCTGAAAGGCTCAGGAGGGAGATAGCCAGAAAAAAAACTCATGAGCTAGAAGGAGCCAACAAACGCTAATCGAGAAGTATTTCTGCTCGATCAAAACATTCACGCAATCCCAGAAAGAGAATTCTGCAACCCACAACCGAGCTGGCAAAACAACTTCACATTGTTCTCTCGTTCTCAAGTGGTGCCATTTCCCTTGTCGCTTTTTAAAAATGCACTTAATGGCTTTTATGGTTTTTAAATGACTTGTCAGTTAGTGACTGACTGAAGTTACTATGAAACACGCCTCCCCTTACCTGAGATACTTTTCAATTTCAATCAGCCGGAAGGGACCTTGGAGGTCTTCTAGTCCAACCCCTTGCAATTCCGAAAATTTCAACGGCCACACCACTCCCCACATTGTCACAAGACCGTATTTTGGGTGCTTGGCAACAGGCTCACATTTACAACCGTTTGCAACATCCCGTGGTCACATGACCGGATTTTTGGCAGCCAAAATGCCTACTGGGTATAATAGATTTGTTTTACAACTGTTGCATTCACTTACTGACTGCCCCCACAATGTGTAAAATCAGGCACTCACGGGGTGACTCACTAAATGACCACAATTCTAGGTTCAATTAAAGTTGTGAGTAACGTACACACACACACACACACATATGAAATTTTCAGTATCTACCGAAACCAATTTGTTAAAAAACAAGCAAGAATGAAAAAAGCAATGCAAACAAAACTTTGTTAGGAAGTTATTGTGTGTGTTAAAATATTCAAAATCGGGATCGGTGCTCTCTGAGCACTGGTTTTTTTCTTACAGATGTTTCATTACCCAACTAGGTAACATCAGCAATGCTAGGAGGGAGGGAGATTTGCAAGGAGGGGGAGGAGAACTGTGAGGTCCTTGGTGCTCTCTGAGCTGCGCTGTTTTCTTGCAGATGTTTCCTGGCCCAACTAGGGAACATCATCAGTGCTAGAAGGGAGTGGGATTTGCAGGGAGATGAGAAGGAGGAGGAGGAGGAGGAAGAGGAGGAGAACTGTGGGGTCTTTGTTGCTCTCTGAGCTTGGCTGTTTTCTTGGAGATATTTCCTGGCCCAAATCAGTAATAGAAGCAGGGATGGGATTCTACCGGTTCACACCTATTCGCTAGAACCGGTTGTTAACATTCTAAGCAGTTCGGTTAAGAAGAAATTTTTACTGGCCTAATCCTGTAAGGAAGGCAGGAAGGAAGCATTCTGGTGTTGCTTACAGAAACTGCCTTTCCGTTAACCCTTATTCCATTCTTGGCAGGACTAGATTTCCTGTCTCAGGAACGTCTCTGGAGTTTTTTTCCCCTCCTTTGCTGGTACTTTGCTGGTGTGGAGGGACCATTCAAAGTTACAATGGCACTGAAGAACGTGACTTATGACCCTTTTTCACACTTACGACTCTTGCAGCATCCCCACAGTCACGAGAGGCCAGGCAAGGAGATGCGTGCCTCGATGTGAGTGATGTTAAGTTGGCCACACCCAGCCAATAACATGACCACCAAGCCATGTCCACCTAGTCACATGACCACCAAGCCATGCCCAACAACTAAGCCACGCCCACAGAACCAGTTGTTAAAAATTTTGAATCCCACCCCTGGCTAGAAGGGAGTGGGATTTGCAGGAAGGAGGAGGAAGAAGAGGAGGAGCAGGAGGTGGTCATGGAGAACAACTGTGAGTCCCTGATGCTCTCTGAGCTTGGCTGTTTTCTTGCAGACGTTTCATGACCCAACTAGGGAACATCATTAGTGCTAGAAGGGAGTGGGATCTGCAGGGAGAGGGAGGAGGGGGAGGAGGACGATGACAACGACTGTGGAATTCTTGGCATTCTTTGAGCTTCGTCGTTTTCTTGCCGACGTTTCATGACCCAACTAGGTAATATCATCAGTACTAGAAGGGAATGGGATTTGCAAGGAGGAGGAGGAGGAGGAGGAGGAGGAGGAGGGGGAGGACGTTCCTGCAGACATTTCATGACCCAACTTGGTAGCATCATCAGTGCTAGGAAGGAGTGGGCTCTGCTTTCTTTTCCATATCCCAAGAATCAAATGCCCAGGAAGGTCCAAGCGCTCCCAGCTCTCTCACCTTTGCTAGGCACGTACGGCTGAGTCCAGTCGTACATCTTGCGCTGCAGGATGGCTGTGACTCGGTACAGGTGGCAGAAGCCCGTCTTGCATTCATTCGCTCGGAGAAAGGTCAGCTCATCCTCTTTCTCCTCTGACTGGGCGAAAGGGTAGAAGATGTCGTGGACCTACCCGGGAGAGGAAGAAAAAAAAAAACGAGAGAAGATGCCAAGTACCGTCCATTCAAACATGCCTGGATCATCGGAGGCCGACAGTTGTTAGGTGAGTTTCGCCCCATATGACCACCTATCTTGCCCTGGTTGTTCAAGTGAGTCACATGGTTGTTGAGTGAATCACTCGTCTTCTCAAGACACGGTAAGAACGGGAATCCCAAGGGTGCTTTTTCAGGAGGCAACTGGACTTTTTGGTTTACTCTTTTGAAGACATTTCAATTCCCTCCAAGAAGCTTCTTCAGCTCTGACTGGATGGTGGGGAAGGGAAGGATTCATATTCCTTGCAGACAGCTGGTCATTTGCATCCACTGAGGCCACTTGGAGGTTTATCCAGGGTCACTGGAGTGGTGCTCCTGGCTCCTGTAGTCTGCAATTCTTTCCTTTGGAAATCCATTCTTACTCCGACCCCATAAGAAGGGTATGGAATTTGCCAAATTGTATAGCTCAAAGTCCGTAGAATTGTATAGCTCAAAGTCTGTAAAACCCTGAGGACACAGATAAACCTCCAAGTGGCCTTAATCACCCTCTAAAAGGATGCAAATAACCAGCTGTCTGTAAGGAATATAAACCCTTCCACTCCCCACCATCCAGTCAGAGCTGAAGAAGCTTCTTGAATGAGAAGGGAAATATCTTCAAAGAAAAACCTGAAACAGCACACAACCTGGGGACACAGAAAAACCTCCAGGTGGCCTCAACGACCCTCCAAAAGGATGCAAATGACCAGCTGTCTGTAAGGAATATAAACCCTTCCACTCCCCACCGTCCAGTCAGAGCTGAAGAAGCTTCTTGGATGAGAAGCGAAATGTCTTCAAAAGGAAGAACAAGAAACTCCAGTTGCCTCTTGAAAAAGCCCCTTTGGGGCAACCATGACCTAGATGACTTGAGAATCTCTACTAGCTATACAATTTGGGTTGAACACCCTTAGGATGGGGCGGGAACAGGAATGGATTTCCGGGTGGGGGGGGGAATTGCAGACTACAGGAACCAGGAGCACCACTCAGGCGAACCGGAGGACACAAGATTAAACTCCAAGTGGCCTCAACGACTCTCTAAAAAGGATGCAAATGACCAGCTCTGCCTGCAAGGAATATATAAATCCTTCCGTTTCCCCCAACATCCAGTCAGAGCTGAAGAAGCTTCTTGGATGAGAAGCGAAACGTCTTCAAAAGGAAAAAAACAAGAAAGTTCAGTTGCCTTCTGAAAAGGCATCTTTGGTACAACCATGACCTCGGATGGCTGAGAATGTCTACCAGCAAGAATGGGGAGCATCAGCAAATCCGGGGGTGGGGAAAAGGGGTTGTGAGAACAGGCCCCACACTTGAGCCCGCCTTACATTGATCCAGACGTTGGTGGCTTCTTCATAGACGATGAAGGGATGGGTGTCCTCGGGCACGGCTTTGGCAAATTCCAGGCGCTGCTCCTCGTTTTCCGGGACCGGGATGAAGAGGGCGGGAGGGAAGAGGACCAGCTGGAGCTGCTGCTGAGGTCTGTCCAGGAACATGGCCCATGCGCTGCGGGGGGAAAAGGGAGAGGGAGGGAAAAGAAAAGGCCGTGAGCGGGAAAAGCCAGCGGGAGCAATTGCACGCCGAACCTTTAGGACACAGCCAAGTAATGCTGCGAACCGGGGGGGGGGGTGTCTCCTAATGTGGCAAATTTTAAGGTTTTGTGGACTTCAACTCCCAGAATTCCATGAGGCTGGCTGAGGAGTTCGGGGAGTTGGAAGTCCTCAAGTCTTGAAGTTGTCAAGTTTGGGGACCCCTGCCATCAACTGAACTCAGGGTTTAGGTCTCAAATGCCTCTGGCCCAGCTCTTCCCATCTTCTTTTATATTTAATGTCAACTTTTCCCATCTTTTAGTCACTAGCATCTGAAGTTGAAAAGGCAGGCAGCTTGGGAGTAGGGCAGGACGGAGCAGCCATGGGTCCCAGGAAACCATGATCAGGACACCCAAATGTTGATGAAGGAGATTGTTTGTAGCTCAGGGTTGAAATGAAGGGTCCTTGGTGCTCTCTGAGGTTGGTGGTTTTCTTGCAGACATTTCATGACCCAACTAGGTGACATCATCAGTGGTAGAAGGGAGTGGGATGTGTGGAGAGGAGGAGGAGGAGGAAGGAGACAACAACAACTATGGGGCCTTTGCTGCTTTCTGAGCTTGGTGGTTTTGTTGCAGATGTCTCATTACCCAGCTAGGTAACATAATCACTGCTAGAAGGGAATGGTGTGTGTGGAGAGGAGGAGGAGGAGGAGGAGGAGGAGGAGGAGGAGGAGGAGGAGGAGGAGGAGGAAGAAGAAGAAGAAGAAGAAGAAGAAGAAGAAGAAGAAGAAGAAGA